ACGTCTGTAACGCCGTTACTGGATGACTACGGTGAGCTTTACTAGCGACAGTGTGGGATCAGCGCGTTTTTGAAGGCCCCAACAGGCACAGGCACAGGCACAGACACACACTGTAACGGCTACTTTTATTACCCTCACCCTTCTCTTTCTTTTTCTTTTACTTTTTCTCTTTCTCTTTTCTACCTACACCCTTTCAGTGTTACGCACTTCCCCCTGCGTTACTTGCATACTTTATCTCTCCCCGTTGGCGTGCGACATTTTAAGCAAAAACAAAGCAGAGTTATATATATATATAACTGAGTGGAGATAAAAATGAAGTTGGAAGAACAGAGATGTAAAAGAAAAAAAAAACGGTTGCGAGACAACGTCGCGAAGTTAGTTAATGAAAGTCTTGAGGAGAGAAGGCCTATCCCTCTCTCTCTTCTCNTCTCTCTCTCTCTCTCTCTTCTCTTCTTCTCTCTCTCTCTCTCTCTCTCTCTCTCTCTCTCTTTCTCTCTCTTTCTCTCTGTAGTTTTCATGTTCTATGGGCAGAGTTTCGTTTTGTGTGTATTTCGGTGCTTTTTGTTTTGTTGTTGTTATTCTTTTCCACTCGTGCGTGCTGCTATTGATAGACACATCTTAACTACAATGAAGCAACAATTAGCTGTTTTCCTCCCTTATACGCCTGCTTGCCAGCAGCTTCACATTTGCAGCTCCATTCGCTAATTAACTTACTCCTCGCGTTGTTCTTCTTGTCTTTGTTTCCCTTGGCTGCTTTTGGCTGGGCTTCCCTCTCTGGTGTGCCCTCCACGCACTTCCCCTCCTAAGCTACCACCCACCCATTCCGTCTTTGGGCGCAAATAATAACAAAAAAAAAAATGACAGCTAAAATGTTTAAATGAGGGTACAAGTCAACAAATAACAAAACTTTGTATTCTCCTCATTCTTGCCACTTTCCTTTTTTTTTGTTATTACCGCATGTAGGTGTGTGTGTTTCATAAATTTTATCCGCACCCCCACCCCCCGTTCTATCCCTCTCATTATCCGCGCTATATGTGAGTGGCAACACCGTGGGGGGTCGTGGCTGAGGCAAACAAAGGCAGCCTTCAAAAAAAAAAGTAGTGAAAATACGCCGATTAAAAAACCCTACAGATACACACCATTGCTTCCAATTCCCACACGTACAAATTTTGCCGTTTCTTTGTAATGTGTGTGTGTGTGTGTGTGTGTGCCCCTTTGAGATGAGAAAGACTTAAAGATTCACGCAATCAACGGAGCCGGGGACTTGCAGTCGCGGGCCATGTGACCTTTCTCACCACAGACATAGCACGGCTGTTCCTCATCTGGCAACCGCGGGTTGGGGCAATTGCGAGCGACGTGGCCCTGTACGCCACAGCGGAAACACGGGTAAAGCATCCTCGCCGTCCGAATACGCTCTGGGCACCGCCGTGCAATATGGCCAGTCCTACCGCAGCTGTTGCACTTCAGATTTTCAACCACTTCCGGGCACTCACGGGCGTAGTGGCCTGCCTTGTGGCAATGAAAGCATGACTGCTTGGAACGTGGCGGGCGGGGATTCGTGCAGTCGCGGGAAATATGTCCCTCTTCACCACACCTGTAGCATGGCTGCCGTGTGTCCGACGGTGCGAGTGGGCAATTATTGACTCGGTGGCCAGCCTGGTGGCAAAAGAAACATGGCACGTCTTTAGCATCCACGTCGCTGGTGCAGTCCTTACTCATGTGGCCAGGCTGACCGCAGCGGAAGCAAAGGCTTTCATTGGCAGGCTTGAGGCAGTCGCGGCTTGTATGGCCTACACCACCACAACGATAGCAAACCATTTCGGTCTTACTGTTCTCTCTTCGAAAGTAAAAAAAAAAAGACACCAACAACTCCAAAAAGCAACTCAAACTAAGCCTATGAAGGGAAATGTCTCTGCCCTTTTCGCTTGCGTTTTTTTCCTTACTGACGTTGTGGCGAACGCTGACTCAGGCTTTTTGTTTTGTGCAGTAGCGCAAAATGTGGCTATCAGGGCTGGAGAGGAATAAATAAATAAAAAAAAAACAAGGCAAACTAGGCCACTCCACAAGTCTCTCCTGCAGACTCATTCACAGACGCAACTCCACAGCAATGGTCCACGGACACGCGCGCAAGCATCCAGAGAAAGCAGGAAAGAATCCAGGCAGGTTTATATCTGCTCCACCACCTCCACCACGGGTGGCACACAGACGCACACTCTCCCGCGCCAAGCCCAGCCACGACACCGCCAACGCCAACGCCAACGCCACTCCGCCTCGCCTCGCCAAAAAAGAAGAACACCAAATGCTGTCTCGTCTCCCACAAAACAACCAGTTCTTCTTTTTTCCTTCTTTCCCTCCCTCCTGTACGCCTCCCCAATGTCCAATCAACACCGCTCCGCTGAAAAGGAATAAAAAGGATTTGGCCCTTTAACACCGCCATCGCCATCTGTCTTGCCCCCTTTTTTGTTTCCGCTCCCCCTCTTCCCAGCTGCTCTCCATCTGCACCGCAACCTCCTCCACCTCCCCACACGCGCGTCCCTGCCGACCCCGTCAAGCAATTAACCTGCCCTCCTCCCCCGATGGAATCGGCTTCAGAAAAACAAAAAAGGCACAAACACCTCTGTCATGTATACGAACACCACCACTATCGCCGTCACCGCTGCTTAAACCGCACGTCCCACTGCCGCCGAAGAAAAACATCACCACTAAACCAATCAACTTTCATCAACAATGATATTTGATACACTTTTTTATTTTGTTATTCTCCTTAAAGCCATCGCGATACTTAAAAAATAATAATCCTTTGCCCTTCTCTCCCTTGTAATATAAATCGTCTGTGGAGCGGCAGCAACCGGTAGGGTGGAATTGAGTAAGCTGGGCATACCGCCCACCCACCTCCCCACTCCCCCTTTCTTTTATCCTCTGTTAGTTTGGTTTCTCTCCACAAACTCCTGCTAACCTACACGCCACAGCAAGTAATCCATTTAGATGCACACAACACCAACACACTGTGCAAAGGACACCACAAAACGGTGCCTCACTGCTATCAGGAAGTTGCTCCGAGCTTCACCACACCCACCTGCTGATGGTGCCACGAAGAACAGGAGGAAAAAAAAACCACCAACCTCACTGACACTAGAGGCGGTAATGCCGAAGAAGAAAAAAACCACTACTCAAAAAGAAAAATAAAAACAAGGAGTAGAACCCCGTTGTTTTCATTTCTTCTTCGTGTTCAGTTTTTCACCCTATGCCGGCAGCCGAGCTCCATCGCGTTCCACCACTTTACCCTTTTGACTCCCACCATCCGCACATGCACATCCGCAGACACACAAACACACACAATGAGATGGAAGGGAAGGCCCTTCAAAAGAAAAACAGAAAATAGATCAAGCAATAAAGAAAAAAAACCCACAGGAAGAAAAGAAGAACGAATAGTGAGAGTAAATGCAACGATGCCCAAAGCAGAACTGCACATTGAGCCCATTGGCCCCCAACACCTTCACAGTCTCCCATAAATGTTCGCACAATGAGAGAAGGAAAGAGAAAGGGGGCAAAAAAAGCAAGACACATAGAAATAAGGATCTGTTGCTTTTATTTTTACTTCCTTCTCAACTTTTTCCTCTTCATTGTTCAATTGCTCACAAAACACCGTCTTCACCCAAAACATCCAATTAGGGGTCAATGGCAAAAATATTTCACTACATTGCTTGACGTGTTTTTTTTAAAAAAAAATATTCTTTAATATATTAATATTACTGACTTTTTTTTTCCTCGTTCTTTTTTTTCTTTTTGTTTCTTTAGATGCTTTCTCTTCGCTCTCATCCTACTCACACCTTTTTTTACTTCTATTGGATGGCCACCTTAACATCTTATCGCTCTACTCATCTGCCTTTAAACCCACACACACCTTTTTTTTCAACATGTCATGGCCGCAAGTGAACATAATTAAAGAAAAATAGTGAAGAAAAAAAAATGTCATCGGCGGTCAGTTTTTGTGGAATATATATATATATAATGCGTCATTTGGCGTAAAACATTATATTCCGGCAGCCCCAACCTCAACCAATCCGTTTCCCTCCCACACATTTCTCTTATCCCCTCATTAGTTGTATTTCTTACGCACGCATTTCATCTTCTCCACTTTTTACCCCTATCCCTCCATCTGATCTCACGATTTCTCCTTTCATCTCTTTATTTATTTTTGCCTTTTTTTTTTTTTACGGATCAATCAGATCATTCTCCTTGTTGGTCTTTTATCACTCTTTTCCACATGCATGCCGGTGTAGTTGCCCCAGTTCTAAATAAGACAGCGTCCCTTCCGCACACACATCCAGTAACAGATAAATACCAACAACCAAAGACGACAGGAAGCCCACTTGAAACTTAAACAGTCTAAAAGTAAAAAGACGTATCCGACTCACACGCATCCCACTAAACACCCCAAATACAAAGAGGAGCGGCAAAAAAAGAGTAGAATAAAATAAGATGGGAACGCCCCTAGCCTTCATTTCTACCATAGAAATGATATACATCGGGCACATTAAGTTCATTAAGGTTCAGAAACCACACACACAGAATTCCTTACTTTGAATCCTTCATTTCCTTTAAAATTACCCAACCCATTGCGCTACGCGAGAGTCGAGAGATGAGAACCGTTCATTCCCCTATTTTAATTATTTCTCCTCATACTCTGTCCCCCCCACCCCCACCTTTTCCTTCCATAAGAGACTGTCGCTCCTTCCTCGACTCGCCATGGAGTGCAGGTAAGGAAGAAACGTCCTCCCGCTCAGGAGTGCAAACGCGTTGCGCTTAAAAATCAGATTGTTTCCGAACTGAACGACCCATTGCCGAACTCTTCTGAAATGCACCACTTACTTCGCAGGACAGGCACGGCTGAGGTGGCCAGTCTGACCGCAGTTGTAGCATGCGCGATCGCCACCACCTGGTGCGTTGGGACAGTCACGTGCAAGATGACCCTCCTGCTGGCAGTGATAGCATGCACCACGCGTTGCGCCACGGAAGCCACCCGTTGAGCGAGTAGGACAGTCACGGC